GGGTGCCCCAAACACAAAACTGAACCTCTTGGCATCAGATTCACCATTTTTAGGTCAGGAGCCATTTTATCCAGCTATATGATCTCTTTCAGTCAGATTCAAAGGTGGGCCCTGAATTGAATCACATTGAAGAATTGCTTTTTATTGCAGCCTCTATTCTTATTCCCTTTCCCCCATTCCTGGAACTCCCATTAGGCATTTTATTTTGTTTATTTATTTTCAGTACTGGAGATAGAGCCCAGGACACATTACAACTGAGCTGAGCCACATCATTAGACCCACAACAATATTGTTTTTTTTTTTTTTTTTTTTTTTTAGTTCCAGGGATTGAACCCAGGAATATTTAACCATTGAGCCACACCCCCAGCCATTTATTTTTATTTTGAGACAGGGTCTCAATAAATTGCTTAAGACCTCTAAGATGCTGAAGCTGACCTTGAACATCTGATTCCTCCTGCCTCAGCCTTCCAAATTGTTGGGATTACAGGGTACACCACCACACCCAGCCTGCCCCCTCTTTTGGGGGATACCAAGGATTGAACTCAGGGTTACTGGAGCACTGAGCCACATCCCCAGGACTTTTGTATATTTAGAGACAGGGTGTCACTGAGTTGCCATCCTGTCCCAAGAATTCAAATTTACTTCACACATGATTCTCATGAAGGATATTCTACAAGTCTTCCTACTCCTGGAAGAAAGTGGGTGGGGTCATCCAAGAGGCAAAGGAAATCTTTTCTTTCCTCTTTCATGGTACTGGGGATGGAACTCAGGGTTACTGGAGCACTGAGCCACATCCTCAGGACTATTTTGTATTTTATTTAGAGACAGGGTCTCCCTGAGTTGCTTAGCATCTTGCAGTTGCTAAGGCTGGCCTTGAACTCTCAATCCTCCCGCCTCAGGCTCCACAGGTGCTGGGATTAGAGGCCTGTCCCACCACATGGGATATTCCAGCCCTTCTATTTTATTCTTTTTATTTTGAGAAAGACTCTTGCTAAATTGCTCTGGGTCTCACTAAATTGCTGAGCCTCACCTCTAACTTGCAATCCTCCTGCTTATCCTCCCAAATGGGATTACAGGCAGGAGCCACCTCACCCAGCTCYACCCTAATCTTGAAGTCCTGGAGCAGAGGGTTCCTGAAGGTCACATTTTCCTGCCTGGGTTGGTGGGCCCAGGGTCCTTGGATGTCAAATGGGGGCCAGAATGACCCAGTCAGCCTCTGATCCCATGATGTTATAATCCTGGGCATTCTTTTCCTTATTAGCCTATCCCTCTCCCTGGGTTCTTTTACCCTACACCTATAATCTCCTCACTCCCAGCCCTGGGAGGCTGATTTTTGAGWCWCTCATTTCCATTCTWGGCCAAGAGTRAAKSTTTRTCTTCTCRCTGCTGGATCAGTTCTTGGTCTYGTGAAGGRCTCCACAGTTCCCAAAAGGAAAAAGACCCACATTTTAGGGCCCCAGAGTGGTCACATATTAGGCAGCAGGCTAACAAACTCACTCCTTCCTTTTCTAGACACTATAGATTTATGATGTTTCATTTGTTTGTTCTTGAGGATTGAACCAGGGGCAAACCACCATTGTGTTTCCTTCTCAGCCATTTGTATTTTTKATTTTGAGATAGGGTGTCACTAAATTGCCCAAGCCGTCCATGGATTTGCCATCTTCCAGGTTTGGCCTGGAAAATCGCAGGGATCACAGGTGTTGACCACCATGTCCATCTTGACCTTTTTCTAAAATTTTATTTTTTGGCTGTGCTGGAGATCCAATTCAGGGCTTCATGCAGAAATGCAGAAAAACAGTCATATGCGGTTTGGCCAGATGTTCAATATGTTCATCTTGAATCCAGATTGCTGTTGGGCCTCCAAAAAGGCAAAAGCCCTCACAATTCTATTATTTAGCCTATTAAAGAATAGTCCATTTTTATTCATTTCGTGCTCACCAACCCCAACCCCCACCCCCACCCCGACACAGATTGAACCCAGGATGGCTCTACCATTGAGCTAGGTCCTCAGGGCTTTAAAAAAAAGAATCCATTTTGAAATGAGTGTGGTGGTCCATGCATAGGATCCCACAATTCAGGAGGCTGAGGTGGGAGGATCCCACATTCAAGACCAACCTCTGCAGTTTAGGGAGACCCTGGGCCAAAATGAAAAATAAAAAAGTTTGAGGATGTAGCTAAGTGACCGAAAGGCCCTGGGTTCAGTCCCTAGTACTGCCCCAAAGGACGATAATCAAATAAAAATAAAAAATTTCAAAAACCAAACCCAATTAACCCAAAGGCTGAATGTTTTGTAGGACATGCAGATGCTAATTCACAACAAAGGGGGGGGGGTGATGTGTGGCTAGGGAAGGACAGGGTAGTTTAGATCAGACAGAGGAGAGTCAAAAGAGGGGAAGGGTTAAGGGGTAGGAAAGGTTGCAGAGTGATTCAGACATTACTCTATGTGCATATATGACTGGTGTAATTCTACATCACAGACAAGCAGAAGAATGACAAGTCATCGACAGTTTATTTATGATGTGTCCAAGTGTAGTCTACTGTCATGTATGACAGTAGAACAGAGAACAAAATAAAATAAAAACCATTTTTTGGAGACATGTTCTCCGTACATTTCTCACACTGGTGTGGAGGCTGAGACCCTTCTTCCTCAGTCTCCCGATTCCTGGGATGATGGGTCTGTCCCACAGACCCTGAGCCCACCCATGCATTTTCACCTGCTCCCCAAGTGGTATGGGTGTTATTGATGGGAGTGTGAGGATACCGTCTACCCCTTAAGTAGACCTGACAGCAATGGTGTGTGCCTGACCTAATGATGACCAAAGTCATAGGTTGAGAAAAACCTGCGGATCCAGAGAATGGAGATTAAAAATTGGGGAATGGGCAATATGCTGTTTTAGGGTAACCGAGGCCCATAAAGCGAGGGACATTAAAGAGGGAAATTCCTAGGTCACTCGTAAAGTGCATGGTTAGCGAGCCCAAAACTCTGGGTCCCATCCCTGCATGTACATTGCAAAAAAAATTTTGAAAAGGGAAATGTAGCTTCATTCTTTCTGTGAAGTTGGGCCCAATCCGGCCTGTAAAACCTTTCACCTTCCAATGAACCACACCCAACCTACAAAGAGAGAGGTTTAGGGAGGAGAATATAGGATCACTATCCAGGAAAGATGGAAAGGAGGAGCACTAAAGGGCAGGTTGTGGCCCACAATGCAAAGCTGAGTAAGGGCGGAGCTCCGTGGAGGCTTGGGGAGCCTATAAGAGCAGAGGGACCCCAGCAGGAGCTGTGCACTTCACTAGAGCCATTGGAGGCTTCTGGAGTCCCAGGCAGTGTCTGGTGAGTGGAAAACTTTGGCAGGGTGGAGGTGCTCTGGACAGCCTTGGCCCTGGAAGCTGTGAGGAGGAGGGTTGAGGAGGCGAAGAGCTTGCTGGGCTCCCAGGTTAACTCCCTGGGACAAGGAAAGGGTGTGGGTGAGAGCGAAGGTGACCTCATAGGTTGAGGACCAGGGAGCCAAGGTTCAGCGTCCCTGGGGGCCCTGGTGTGTATTCCCGAAAGCGGGTCATAGGGGTGATCTGTGCTATGATCAATGCTGCTTGTTGCATTGTGAACACTGCGATCACACAGGCGTGATTTGGAGCTGCCATCCATGTGCTCGCTCCCACTGGTCACAGGCCATTCTTTGAGCTCCAGTTTGTTTTCCACTGAGATTGAACTCAGGGGCACTTGAGCCGCTGAGCCACATCCCCAGACCTGTTGTATTTTTCTTTTCCACACAGGGTCTCACTGATTTGCTCAGTGCCTGGCTTTTGCTGAGGCTGATTTTGCACTCGCAATCCTCCTACATCAGCCACCAAAGCCCCTGGGAAGACTGGCGTGCACCGCACTGCGCCCAGCTACTTTTTCAGTTTGGGCTACTGGGATTAAACCCAGGGGTGTGCAACCACTGGGGCACACCCCCGGCCTAGTTTCTTTTTTTTATTCATGTTTTGATGCTGGGATAGGGTGTCTCCTGGAGTTGCTTCCTAATTTAGCTGCCGTATTCCTGATCAGCCTCTCCAGCTGCTGAGATTAAAGGCAAGTGCCACTGTGGCCAAAGCTCCCAAGGGTCTTTAATGCCATGGTTTGAGCGGTCTGATAATGGTGGTGCATTTGCTGGGTAGCAGGCAGGTGGTAGGAGAGAACAGGACCACCCAGGCCTGGCTCCCAGTGCCTCCCTAGACTACTGCATGCTGGGAATGGAACCCAGAATTGCCAGGGACTCGGGAACCTTAGGCAATAGCTCTGGCACTGAGCTAGCTACCTCCTGAACTCCAGGCCTTGGCTTCTGGAAGGGACATTGTCRCCATGACTTCTCTGGCTTTGCCACAGTTTTACCAAACTGATTGTGGCCGTCTGGCTTTGAGGACCTGTGCTTCAGCCTTGAAAGTGAACTCTGCTGAGGCTGGTCTCAAACTTGCCATTCTCCTGCCTCAGACTCATGAGTTGCTGAGGGAGGAGAATTCCAACTTGAAGGCCAGCTGGGTAGATAGACTTCCACTCAACAGGAAGTGAAAAGGGCCAGTGGGGGGAGTGTCGCTCAGTGACAGTGCTTTCAGAAGGTCGGTGAAGCTTGGGGATCATTTCCTAGCACCAGAAGATGAGTCAGTGAAGGAAATGGTTTCTCTTGAATTCCTTCTCAGATGATAATCTTCTGGAATTTTTGAAGCCATAGTTATTATTCCTGGGTTTCTGAGAGCTCCGCTGAGCTTTGTTCAACCTTGTATTTTTCCCCAGTTCTCTTTTAGATGGTTTTATTGTGTGTTTTCCCTGTAGCTCCCATGACATCTCTAGTTGTTTGTATCAGGGGTTTGTTTGCATGGAGCCGTTTCCTGGCTCCTCCTATACAGTTTCAATAGTATAAGAGATTACTTGCTTTGTGATACCAGGGATTGAACTCAGGGCCACTTGAATACTGAACCTCATCCCCAGCCCTTTTTTGTGTTTTGTTTAATGACAGTGCAAGAAAGTCTCTGCAGCAGCCATCCAAATGGATGTTAGGGCGAACGAGAAGAAGCCCCTGTTGGGAAGTGTGGTCTCTGGTCCGGGTTCGAAGACCAAAGCATACGATTGTAAAGAGCGGCTGGAGTACCTCAAGTCACAGTTACTCATGGAGGACCACCTGGGAACGAAGGACTTGATGTGGAGTCCCAGGTCTGTGGATTCCTACCACCGTGAGGAGGCTAAGCCCAAAGCCTGCAAACCACGCCAGCAGAGTTCCACCTGGAGTGGGAAGCCACGTCCCAGAGGACCCGTGGCTTTTGGTTCGGATTCGAAGCCTGAGGGAGACTGGGCATCGCAAAAGGAGGAAGGTGTCCGATGGCGCGATCTATGGGAAGCGGCATGCAAGGGAAAACTTGACATGCCCTCCCCGAAATTAGGTTGCTCCCTTAAGGAGGATCAAAGAGGGAGCGCTGAGGTCCCAGGAGCTGAAGCGAAAAAGCGGGATCCGAGCCGTCCTAAGAAGACGCGTGCCTTTGAGTGTATGTACTGGGTACCTGACTGTGACTCAGACACACTGTCCGAGTACCTGGAGAACAGGGAGGAGATCGTGGTTGTGGAGGTGAGCTCTTCCGAGAGTGCCTGTTCCGCTCCTGGGCCGCAGGCTGGGTCCCCCAGGATCAAGTCCCAGCAGTGTGACTGGAGCGCCCCTGAGGACGCCTCTGCAGAGGACAGCTGCGCGACTGCGGGGTCCCTGAGGAGAAAAAAGGCCTCAGCAGAAGAGGAGAGGAGGGAGTTCAGGAGAGACGGAGAGGTGGTCCTGGAGGCTGACTTCGGGGAGGCCAGTGATCACCTAACAAGCAGCCCGAAGCTCCGGAAGGGTGCGCAGAGCAGGGAGAAGGAAGCCTTTGCTCTCTTTCCAAACCGCAGGGCCATCTGTGTGTTGAAGGGAGACCCCGATTACGACATCGCGCTGGAGGATTTGGAGGACAGCCAGGATGAATGGATCTATGAGGTGGAAGGCCTCTTCCAAGAAGTCCACGCCGAGGACCGCCTGATTTACATGAAGGGCAGAATTTTTAAAGAGATTGGGACAGCAGAACCCTGGAGGTCTGAGGTCCCTCACCCGCCCCTTCTGCTCTTGAGCGGTGGAGGAAAGACGGGTGAGTTGAAGCCGCCTGTGCTCCCTAGGCTGAAGACAGAGGAGGGCTGTGAGACCCTTGATGTCGGGTGCCAGAAGGCACCCAGCCAGGGCAGCCCACCTGGAGGGATCACGGTGCCAGGGGGCTCTGGCTTCCCCATCTCGGGAGGGGGTCAGTGGGCCTGTGGGCGGAGAGTCATTGTGACTTTGACCAGTGTCCCTGTTGGAGAAGGCAGCCTTGGCCCACCCTGCAGAGAGCTGGCAGGGCGAAAGGCTTCCCTTGATTGAGCTTTGGCATTGATTATGTCTCCCCCACTCCCAAGCCTTGGCCCTGAGTGTGGGGGGGAGGGGGTCGGAGGTCACTTGACTGACAGGATTTCAGAATGAAGACCTTTACTTTATCCCCACCGGGATACTAGAGATCTATTCCTACTGAGGCTTGTGAGACTATGTCTCTTCCATGGATTTCAGGTAATGTTTGGCTTCTCGTTCTTTCCTAGGCTCAACTCATCCATAGAGATGATACCCGATTGGCGTCAGCACGGGAAAGAAGACCTTCCCCGGTAACGACTCCTGCGGACCTACAAACAAGTTAGGAAGAATGTCTTAAAAACGGAATAAATGAGATTGAATAAATATGGCATTCCTGAATGTGATTAAGCTTTTCCCCTTCTCAGTTTACCACCCAAAGTGGCCGAGTCACAAATATCAAACCCACACCTGCCATTAAGTTCTCTTTAAACATTTTTCCCCTAGTTGTAGATGTGCACACTGTCCCCCTGCCCCCCCTTCTTTATTTCATTTTATTTTTTTACATGGTGCCAGGGTGTATCCCAGCACCTCACACATGAGAGTCCAGTGCTGAGCCACTGAGCTACAACCTCAGCGGAACCATTAAGTTGGATATTTATTTGTCCCCTGGTATTGGCAGGGGAGTGTTTTCAGGGTGCCTCCTGGCTACTGTAACACATGGTATTCTCAGGTCCTTTGGAGTCATGTCTTTTCACAGGATTCCTGCACATGTTCCCTATATTTTCAATCACTCGGATGACTTGTACCCAATTCGACATAAATGCCATCTAAATAGATGACTATTCCTAGGATAGTGATAAGAATAAAGGGTGTCTTTWTTACAGATTTTCTGATTGATACTGGAGGTCGAACATGGGGGTGATTTACCACGGGGCACATCCCYAGCTTTTTTTTGGACACAGGCTCCCCCCAATTGCTTGGGGCTCGACTTGCTGAGGCACCACTGGAACTAGGCGGTACTCTAGTACCTCTAGGGAGGTCTCCCGAGTCACTGGTATAATTGGTGTGCCACCATAGGTGGCTCTGAAGTTCTTTCTCAAAGATTCCATGCATGTTCACAACCCCCAGGCATGGCACCCTCGTTTGTGGAAGGTTAAGAAGGTTAACTGTCCTGCCTCGTGTCCAGAGAGGGAAATCTTGTAGAACACTCTAGTTGCTAACAGATATGCACTTTATCCATTTTCGTGTATTAAAATGACACACTTGATTTCTCTTTGAATTTCACTGCTTTTTATTTATGACAGCAGAATGCATTATGATCCTTATTACATATACAGACACAATTTTTCTTATCTCTGGTTGTAAGCACAGTATATTCACACCTATTTTCGCATTTACTTGTCCTTTGGATAGTAATGATGGTCACATTCCACCATCATTAGTAACCCCATGCCCCCTGCCTTCCCCTCCAACCCCTCTGCCCTGTCCAGAGTTCCTCTGTTCCTCCTTTGTTCCCACTTTCCATCCCACTTTGAGTCAGCCTCCTTTTTTGGGATTGGCCAACTTCACTTAGCATTACCCTCTCTGACTCCATACATTCATTTGCAAATGCCATGAGTTGATTTGTKTGTATTTGCCACATTCAGTTCATTCATTCATCTATGAAAGGGCATCAAGGTTGGTTCCATGGTTTAGCTGTGGTGAATAGAGCTGCTATAGACATTGATGTGGCCGTGTCCCTTTCATATGCTGTTTTATGCCCTTTGGGTATAGACCGAGGAGAGGGATAGCTGGGTCAAATGGTGGTCCTATTCCCAMCTTTCCAAGAAATCTCCATACTGCTTTCCATATTGGGTGCACCAATTTGTAGTCCCACCAGCAGTGTTCCAGTGTACCTTTCCCCCCACATCCGGGCCAACACCTATGGTGTTGGTTTACACGAAATATGGACTGATGGGTTGTGTTATAGCACAGGATTAATTTTTCTTGTGACTTTGAAGGATAGAATTCACAGATATGAGGGTGAGCGCAAAGTAATGGGAATTATTCAGGCTAAAAGGGAGTTCCCAAAGGGGGAGGGACTTCAGGAGAGGGTTACCATAATACCTGTCTGTGTGGAGGGGTGGTTATATTGATGGACAGAGTGAATGGAGATAGCCCTGTGCCCAGTCCTGGTTGAGGCACTCAGTGTCCGAGAGCTTGTCACATGCCCTTGGGTCCAATGTGGATACTGTGCCCCCCTTCATGCTGGGGGTCAAGTTGCACACAGATGTCTTTTTTGTGTATTTTATTGACAGACGGTCTCAACTGAGTTGCTTAGTGTCTAGCCCTTGCTGAGGTGGCTTTGCATTTTCGATCCTCCTGTCTCAAGCCTCCTGACTGAATGGGATTACGGGTGAGCACCACTGTGCCCAGCCGTGTCTGGTCTTTCTCAGACCTGCTGCAGTCCTTACCTTGAAGGAGCCAAAGACAAACTTTTATGCCAAGTGTGTGATCTACCACTAAGGTGCCCCAACAGTCAAACAGCTTTTACAGAGGTAGACCTAGATAGTAGATTTACAAAATCTGTGTGGAAGATTTGAAGAGCCCAGGCTAGAAAGAAGGAAGGGGACCAGAGTGTCCTGACATTGCCAGGTTACCACACCATAAGGGGAACAGAGTTAATTCACAGGAGGGGGCCTTAGCCAGGTAAGAGGGGACTTGCCCTTCAAGGCAGGAGACCCTTTTCACCTGGGGGGCACTTATACAGCTGTAGCCAGGGTAGCGGGGCTCGCCCCTCCCGGTGGGAGAACACTTTCACCTGGTTTTCAGGGGAGCTCCTATCCCGCTGCAGCCAGTGTAGAGGGGGCTCACCCCTCAAGGCAAGAGACCCCTCCCACATGGGTGTTCCGGGGAGCTTCTATATCTCCACAGCCAGGGTGGAGGGCACTCGCCCCTCCAGTCGGGAGACAATTCCCACTTGGGTGTCAGGGGGAGCTCCTATACCACCACCTGTAGGGTCCAGGCGATTCTACCCTCCAGGCAGGAGACTCCTCCCACCTGGGTGTCAGGAGAGATCCTATACAGCAGCAGCCAAGGTAGAGGGGACTCGACCCTCCAGGTGGGAGACCCCTTCCACTTGCGTGTCTCAGGGAGCTTGTATACCACCTTAGCCAGGGTAGAGGGAACTCCACCCTCCAGGTCTGAGACCCTTTCCACCTGCCTGTCTGGGGGAGGTCCTATAGTGGCAGAGGCAGGGGAGAGGGGACTCTACCCTTCAGGCGGCAGACTCCTCACACTTGGTTGTCATGGGAGCTCCTATATTGCAGGAGCAGAAGAGAGGGGACTTGTCCCTCCAGGCTGGTGACCCCTCTCTCCTGGGTGTGGGGGTTGGAGCTCATAAACTGCTGCAGCCAGGGTAGTGGGGACACACCTCCAGGCAGGAGACCCCTCCCACCTGGGTGTCAGGGGGAGCTCATATACCACCGCAGCCAAGGAAGAGGGTACTTGCCCCTGGAGGCCAGAGACCCCTCACCTGGGTGCTGTGGGCGGGGGGGGGTTCGTATACCTCAGCAGCCAGGCTAGAGGGGACTTGCCCCTCCGGGAAGGACACCACTCCCACCTGGGTATCAGGGGTGCTAGTATACTGCCCCAACCAGGATAGAAGGGACTCGCACCCCCAGGCGGGAGACTGTTCTCACTTGGGTGTCGTGTGTATGTGTGTGTGTGGGGGGGGCTCCTATATCGCTGTTGCCAAGGTAGCAGGGACTCGCCCCTCCAGGTGAGAGACCTCTACCAACTGGGTGTCTGGGAGAGCTCTTATACTGCTGCAGCCAGGGTAGAGAGGACTCTGCACTCCAGGCTGGAGGCCCATAAAACCTGGATGGGTGGGTGGGAGCTCAAAATAGCCACAGGCAGGATACAGGATCTCTCCTCTCAAGGCAAGAGACCCCTCCCACCTGGGTGTCAAGGGAAGCTAGTATACCACTGCAACCAGGGTAGAGAGGACTGGCTCTTCATGCGGGAGATCCCTTCCACCTGGGTGCCCAGGGAAGCTCCTATTCCACTGCAGGCAGGATCCAGGGGACTCTATGCTCAGGTCGGAGACTCCTCACAACTGGTTGTCATGGGAGCGCCTATATTTCAGCAGCCAGGTTAGAGGGGATGAGCTTATCCAGGCGGGAGACCCCTCTCACCTGTGTTTCTGGGGGAGCTGTATACCTTCTTAGCCAGGGAAGAGGGGACTTGCCCCTTCAAGTGGGAGACACCTCCTACTTGGGTGTCTAGGAGAGCTTGTATATCTCTGCATCCAGGGTAGAGGAGACTGGCTGCTCCAGGCGAAAGACTCCTCCCACCTGGGTGTGTGGTGGGGAGCTTGTGTATCACCTTAGTCAGGGTAGAGAGGACTCACCCCTCCAGGCGAGACACCCTCTCACCTGGGTGTTAGGGAGAGGTCCTATACCACCTTAGCCAGGGTAGAGGGGACTCGCCCCTCAAGGCGGGAGACCCCTCCCAACTGGATTTTAGGGGGAGATCCTATACAGATATAGCCAGGATAGAGGGGACTTGCCCCTCCAGGGGGGAGACCCCTTCCACCTAGGTGTCTGGGAGSAGCTCTTATACCACTGCAGGCAGGGTAGAGGGGACTCCCTCCAGGAAAAAGACCCCTCCCAACTGGGTGTGAGAGGGGAGCTCCTATACCCCTGCAGCCAGGGTAGTGGGGACTGGCCCCTCTAGGCAGGACAACCCTCTCACCTGGGTGTGAGGGGGAGCTCCTATACCACTGCAGCCAGGGTAGAGGGTACTTGCCCCTCCAGGCAGGAAATCCCTCCAACCAGGGTGTCAGGGGGAGCTGTATACCACTGCAGCCATGGTAGAGTGGACTCGCCCCTCCAGGCCGTGGACCCCTCCCACCTGGGTGTCAGAAAGACATCATATACCCCAGCAGCCAGGGTGGGCTTGTCCAGGCGTGAGACCCCTCCCACCAGGGAATCAGGGGAACTCTTATACTGCCACAGCCAGGGTAGAGAGGACTAGCCCTTCTAGGCAAGAGAACCCTATCCCCTGGGTGTCTGGGGGAGCTCCTATATCTCTGCAACCAGGGTAGAGGAGACTCGCCCCTCCAGTCGGGAGACCTCTCTAATATGAGTGTAGGGGAAGCTCCTATACCGCTTCAACCAGGGGAGAGGGTACTAGCCCCTCAGGCGTGAGACTGCTCCCACCTGGGTGTCAGGGGTGCTTATATACTGCTGCAGGCAGGTTAGAGCAGACCCCTCCGACTTGTGTATGGGGGCAGCTCTTACACCACTGCAGTCAGGGTAGAGCAGACTCACCCATTCAGGCGGAAGACCTCTTCCACCTGGGTTTCAGGGAAGCTTT